CCTCATGGCCCAACCAGGTTTCAGTAATACATGCCAGGTCTGCCCCCTCGTCAAGTATTAAGTCCTTTATGAACCACAGATCTGGCATTTGGCAACAGCAACCTGAGACCAGGGCCCTGGCTTCTCTTACCACTTGGCCCTTGAGTTGAGCTTACAGGGCCGGAACGAGGGATCGCTGTGACGTAGCGAGCCCTCCTTCCCCGGTAATGGCTAGCCCTGTAGCCCCCATCGTACCTGCCCCTCCCCAACATGACCGGGATGCTCCGGCCCGCCCCCATCCCAGAAGGCCCCTGCCCCCCTCCCATGGCCCACGCTCTTCCCGGCAGGTCACATCTATCACTCATTCTAGGATGAGGGGTAGGCCTGGGCCCCCCTACCACTTTTGCTTATGCACTCAGTGGGGGAGGCACCAGGCCGCGCCCTCAGTCCTTTCCGATACACTCTCAATCACTCTCCCATACACACCCCACTTACTTATATCACTATTGTTCTCCCATATTAGTTCCCCCACAAACAAAACAGTTTTTCACCGTAAGTGTTTTAGGTATTTCTTCAGCCATTTCAATGAATAGGTTATTCACTTTTATACTAATGGGTAAAGGCTTTATTAATTTTTTTTAGAGAGTCATATACTGACCATCCCAGTGATTTCATCTCCCCATCAATTACTCTCTCCACTTTGATAGTGATATAAGTAATTAGGTCTGACCCCTGTCCATCTATACCAAAACCATAGGTTATCATAGAAGGGAGAGATCGGGCAACTTCAAGGTGTATGATGTTACCACTCCCCTTCCGGAATGATGTTATATATGGACACCCCTTATATTCTCCCCCTGTATAAACACAAACACAATCCCATCCTGAGCAGCTAGTGGATCCTGCACAAGGCTTCCACTCATTTGGGTTACCGTGGGCCCATGAGAGGGTGGTTTCACACAAGTATTTATGATTAGCCTTATATGCTTCAATCCATTTCCTATCCCCACATGGCCTACTCCTTCCTTTGCTTGTGGCTGTGCATGCATCAAATGTTAGAGTGAGTGGCTGTTTGCCCTGCTGTAACTGCAACGTGTGATTTAGAAAATACAATTTACCTTCTCCTTCTGGGTTATGGCGTATTCCAGCCTGTGGTAGGCCAGTCCACAAGGTCATATTAAGACGTAAAGGGGTATTGGGATTGTAACAGGTTGATTTCCCTCCAATCACACATAAACTATACATGGTTTTGTTATGTATACAGTTGGTATGTAAGGGTTTGCAGTCTT